TAAACTGACTATCACTTGTGTGATTGATTCAATCATTAACACTAAGAAACAAACAATTTCAGAATTATTGAAATTAACGCCATTGAAATAAAATAACAATTTTTTAAAAAATAAACAAGACTTAGCTATTTAATCATTTCTTTGTATGTGAATGCTTCCATCCATCAAATATTCATGATGGTCATGATGATTATTTGATACATTTGATATAATTGACATAACAAACAATTGCATCACCTAGGTAGTAACAATACCAAGGCCATGCAAAAATGAAACTTTTAATAATGTGTGTCTACCCAGATCTCTGGGATTCACAATAATAAATTATTCTTCCTGATTATCAGTTATGGTAGCTCATGAATAATAAATCTGATGTTGATCACAGGTGTCAGATTTAATTAAAACTTTCCTGTCACAAACATGTAGTTGGGTGCTTTCACACGCCTCATAACTATGGAATTTTTTTTCCACAGGTGAAGGTCCCCAATGTTGGAAGGCTTTGGACAAAGCTTTCCCTTATCTTCCTCTCAGACCAGGCTTGGCTGTCACTATATGGGCATTGATCACTGATAGCTGGTGCTTGTGTGATGATTGCTGTGTGTTATTGCCACACTAACATAAAAGTTGGCACCTGCAACTGGTTGAAAATTCTCCAACTCTGGAGGTTGCAACCTGGGTTGCTGTTTTGTCAGTGGCATGCCTGCTGACTAACAACCCTACCCCCATTTAAATAACAAGTTCAGTTGATCAAATAAAATTTAGAGAAATAGAGAATTTATGAAAATGATTAATTTATATAAAACATACCAAAAAATATCTGAACCGTCTTATTTTACAGCTTTCCTCTTAACATCAGAGTCCAAATGCAATTTCGGGGTCACCAACCCCACTCTGAATTGTAACTTCCTACACTTGAAACAAGTTGCAGATTCTCGTTGCTTTGATGGATCTGGATATTTATGCACACCTAATATCACAACTCCAAAATGCAACTTGGTCACAGAGCCATCCTTACCCTAGAGGTGGGATCGTTGCAGGAAACTTTTCAGCTAGCGTGCCAGCAGTCTTCTCTAGTCTGGATGCTGTGAGGGAAGATTAGTGAAAGCATCCTTGATGATTGGTGCAGTCTTGATGCAGCTCCAGGGCAAAGCGACCCCCCCCTGGAATCCTGTTGCATCATCATATCATCGGGCATTGCAAGTCAGATTAGCCTTTTGTGTACATGAGGAATACGTGAGAATGACTGTAAAGTGCTCAAGGTAGCGTGCGTGCTTCAACGCCTGCTAATTTCCAATAATCAAACATTGCATATTTGAATTGTTTCTTTTCAAATGGTGTATTGCCTTGACATCTTTTTGTAATTATATATTAATAATAATATTATTATTAACGATTACGAAAAGCAAAACACCAATCGTTTGTTGTTGATAAGAATCTTATAATTACCAGCAATGATCTGCTCTGCGTTTTGATTTCCAATTAAAATATTTATATAAAATAAAAAGTGTACCTCTGGTTAGTTATTAACACGTCTTCTTTAGGAGACTTGCATTTTGTCATTGAAAAATAAATTGTTTTTCCAAAAAAAAAAAATCAAAAAAAAAATCAATTGCATAAATAATTGGTACGCGTATGTCGATCAAAAATTTTTTTTTTCAAAAATAAAAAAAAAGAATGTCATTCACACAAAAAAGAAAAAGAGGAAATAGCCATGGAGCTGCATTGGCCGAGTAAGTGTTTATTAAAGGATGGTAGTGGTGGTTATCGCCCGCCGCTTGTTGTCACTCTAGTTCTAGTTATTAAAAAAGAATAGTGGTTGTGACACGTCATCATTTTAGTCTTTGTTGGGAAAATGGTATTAATTTGTAACTTGTATTATCTCTTATACTAGCAACCAACAAATTTCGAAATATTTTTCTCCCTCAACATCACCTGAAAAAAGGTTGAATGATATTAGAAATGTTTTGAATGACACGTTCAAATTAAAGGATTTTAGAAAAAATCAACTTGAAGCAATTGTTCAAACACTGGATGGAAAGGACGTTTTTGTAGTAATGCCAACTAGTGGCGGAAAAAGCTTGTGCTATCAATTGCCTGCACTGATAAAAACAGGAAAAACCAAAGGTGTAACCATTGTTATTTCACCATTGCAATCACTAATCATTGATCAAGTTTATAATTTGGAAAGACACAATATATCAGCATTATGCTTATATAGTGAGCAAGAAGACAAAGAAAAACAAAATGTCTACACTGAACTTGATAAAACCATACCAAGTTGCAGGTTGCTATATTTAACTCCTGAAATGTTAAATAAAAATACAAAAATTTCTTCAGCAATAAGATGTTTGTATGAGAGAAACCAATTAGCAAGATTTGTGATCGATGAGGCTCATTGTGTTAGTGAATGGGGTCATGATTTTAGGCCAGATTATAAAAAATTGCACAACTTGAAGGAAATTTATCAAGATATCCCTGTCGTCGCTTTAACAGCAACAGCAACTTCTGAAGTAAGATCTGATATAATAAATATTTTAGGAATCCAAGGTTGTAAAGTTTTAGTGCAAGAAATTAATCGAGAAAATTTGTATTACAAAGTATGTGGGAAAGAGAATGACAGTAGTAAATCATTGCAAAATCTTGTTAAACTTGTTAGAAGTTATAATGGAAAATCGGGAATCATTTATTGTACTACCAAAAAATGCTGTGAGAATGTTGCACAATACATCCAAAGATCAGGAATTCCAGCAAATTATTACCATTCGGATGTAGAGAAGAAAAACAAAATTATTATACAAAATGAATGGCAATCAGGAAGGCTTCAAATTGTTGTTGGAACCACAGCCTTTGGAATGGGTAAATTATCCATGTTTTTTAACATGATACATGTACATATATTAAATTGATTTTTTTTTTATATATAAAGGGATCAACAAGCCTGATGTGCATTTTATCATTCATTATTCATTGCCTCGATCTCTGGAGGAGTACTATCAGGAGACAGGGAGGGCTGGCAGAGATGGAAGCTATTCTGCATGTGTTCTTTTATTTGTAGGTAGTGAGTATAAAAAATTAAGAAAAATTATAGAAAAAGAAGATGAGTCTCAAAAGGATAAAAAATTATCAAACCTTCTTTTGATGAAGGAATATTGTGAAAATACCACAGATTGTCGCAGGAAACAGTTATTGGGGCATTTTGGAGGAAAATTTGATCCATCAAAATGCAAGGAGATGTGTGACAATTGCACAGTGGGGAAATATAGGATTCATATGGAGAATAAGGATAACTCATCATCAAATACAATTGAGATCATTCATGAAAGCAAAAATGCTGCTTCTGGCTTTAAAAGAAATTCCACAAACAATTTACAAGATTATACTAATGAAAAGGAAGTGAATGTAAATGAAAAAGAAGGAGAGCAAAAACTAGATGACAGTGATGATAAAGGTGAGGAGGTGAAAAAAAATGACAATGATGGTGAGAGAGAAAATAAATCTGAGGGTATGGTTGATGATGTTGAAGTTCCAACATCATCAAGTCATGAAACAAGCATCCCTGATCATTCTACATCAAGTTCCAAAACATTGAAGAAACGTAAGGAAATTGTAGGTGATGATGATAGTGAAGACAAGTCTAGAAGTCCTGTTAAAAAATCAAAGATAGTGTAACTATGGAACCAATAAACATTTAAGATAATACATTCTTATCCTAAGGTTAAATACTATTAACCAATCAATCATTATTATTTTTTATTAAATGTTCTTTAGAGTATATATATTTCTTATTACACATATTTATATCCTAATCATTACCTCTTTATACAACAAAAGCTTCCAATGCAAGCTCTTAAAATTTAGAATTTATATGTTATATATTTTTAATAAAGATATATCTATTATTATTCATTATAAAAATTTATTTGCATAGATATTTGATCATGTTACATTATAAAAAAATTACAAAAAAGATAAGTGAGAAAATCCACTTAAGAAAAAATAATTGAAGTAAAACCTAAGCAAGTCAAACCAACCCACACTAATTCTTTTTTACTAAATCTTTTTTAATTTCTTTAATTTTTAAAAGATAACAAAGACATGCTCCCTAGGTAGTAAATTATTTCCCTTCCAATTTTCTTTTCTTTCTAAATTCTTCATGATTTTGTGGCAAAGTTCTTTTACTGGTTATGATTTTTCTTTCTTCTTGATAAATTTCATAAGTAATCTTTTCTTTTCTTAGATAAGCTTCAAGTGTTTGAGTATCATTTATTTTGAAAATATAAGGAGCAATTTTTTCACCTTGTTCCTTTTTCAAAATACTTCTGATAGTACTATAATTCTTGGGTTCCATAGTAGATCTGATGTAAATTAATTTCATATTAACTATTTTTGTCTAGACAAATATCATGATCATGTTACATTGGCAATACAATTGTGACGTTAAACATTATTGATCCCTGAAAATCTTGGTAATGCCAATGTTCACTTTGTCTGGTTTTGTTGCAGCATGCCCCATATGTATAACTAAATATTTTCTCTATAGATGGATATATTAATATTAAGTATTTAAGTAGACCACTTCCTTCAATATATCTTCTTAATCAATTCCTATCCATAAAAATACCAGTTTCTTTTGATGATTTTGAAATTTTTGCAACAAATATGGTTGAATTAATGTGTTTTCAGGTAAGAATTAGTAATGAATGTTCATTCATAGATATTCTTTCTTGATACTAATGATGACTTTTATTATTACAACAGAGTGAGGTACTTTCAACTGTCAGAAAAATGAATAAAATAAATAGACATTTAAATGATGCTAGTTATATAAAGGTGAATACAGTTCAATGCTCACCAGAAAAATCCACTAAAGATTATCTAAAAAATAGTCAAGATCCTCAATCACCAACTCCTGCTGATGGATTATCCTATCTTCCTTGTTTTGAATGAATTTTTTTTTCATTTTTAAAAGACAGCGTCTTAACGATTTATTTTATTTTATTTGTTTACAAAAAATTTATTAAATTGAGGAATATACAAAGATTGTAAATAAAGTTTCAAACAATGTTTTAGCTGCATAAAAATCTCAATTTGAATTGACTTTCCTATCAAAGGTCCTGTTTATGATTTCATATTATTACTGATATACTAAATTTGAACCCTGCGTGTCACAATGTTCACTTTGATGGGTTTTGTTACAGTATGTCCCATTTAAAAATAAATGTATTTTAGGAAGTCATTCCAAAATTATTCTTAAATAATAGAATTATATGACTTTTGTAATATTCATATATAGGATTCCATTATCTTACTCCTACTTCTTTCATTATCACAAGATTAATCTTAAAATCTTATCAATTTTAAAAAAAACCTACAAAGTGAACATGTAGTCACATTTTTATTCCCAATTTTTTTTTATATATAATCACTTTCATATTGTAATCACTATCACCAATATTTGGCATCAATACCATTAAATTTTGATCCCTGAAATTACTTCGTGCCACTTAATTTCAATTTATCTATCTTATCTCGTATAATAGAGATTATTCTAAAATCAGGATCTAAATTTTTTCCTTCTCTGAAAAAAAAAATAAAAAAATAAAAAACTATTTATTATCAATCAATCAATTAAAAAGAATTATTAAAGATGGTATTAGCTAATGAACTTAATGCTTGGAAAAAACTTCAAAATCATTATGATACAATTGGTAAAGAATTGGTAATGAAAGAATTGTTTGCCAATGATAATAATCGATTCAATACTTTCTCACGTCAATTCAAAGGTAACAACAACAACAACAAAAATGAATCTCCTTCCACCATTTTACTTGATTTTTCAAAAAATCGAATCACCAATGAAACTTTTAAATTGTTGATTGACCTTGCTCGTGAAGCTGATGTTGAGGGGTTTAGAAATAAGATGTTTAATGGTGAACATATCAATTTTACTGAAGATCGGGCTGTTTTGCATATTGCATTAAGAAATGTTTCAAATAACCCCATTAAAGATGATAATGGTGAAAATATTGTCTCAGCTGTTAATGAAGTATTGGAACAAATGAAAAAAACTTCAACTGAGATCCGTGATGGAGTTTGGACAGGTTATACAGGAAAAGCAATAGTAGATGTTGTTAATATTGGAATTGGCGGATCAGATTTAGGACCAGTGATGGTGACTGAAGCATTGAAACCATATGCTAAAGCTGGTTTGAATGTGCATTTTGTATCGAACATTGATGGTACTCATTTGGCAGAAACTTTGAAAAAATTGAACCCGGAAACTACACTTTTTATTATTGCATCAAAAACTTTTACTACACAAGAAACTATCACTAATGCCACATCAGCTAGGAATTGGTTTTTGAATACTGCAAAAGAGGTTGATTATTAATTTGATTTTAATTATTCATTTATTTTTTTTTTATTTAAAAAAAAAGTAATTGTTACATATTAATATATAAAATTTTTGTATATTCAGGATAAATATGTTGCTAAACATTTTGTAGCTTTGTCAACAAATACAAAAGAAGTTACCAAATTTGGAATCAATCCTGCAAATATGTTTAAGTTTTGGGATTGGGTTGGTGGAAGGTATTCTTTATGGTCTGGTGTGTATCATCATAATCATAATCATCATACAAAGTATATCAACAATTAATTGATTAATAAGTTAATTAATATGATTTTTATATTATATATATATAGCAATTGGCCTTTCTATTGCAATTTATATTGGATTTGATAATTTCCATCAACTTTTAACTGGTGCTCATGATATGGATAATCATTTTAAGAACACTCCATTAGAAAACAATTTGCCAGTGATTTTGGGTATCCTTGGTATATGGTATAATAATTTCTTTGGTGCTCAAACTCATGCCATTTTACCATATGATCAATATCTTCACAGATTTCCTGCTTATTTCCAACAGGTAACTAGCAACTCTGATAATAAATCAATCAATATTTTATTAATTAGTAAAACTTTTGTTTAACTAATTACTTATTTTAATTGATAGGGAGATATGGAATCTAATGGAAAATATGTGTCAAGATCAGGAAAAGAAGTAGAATATTCCACAGGCCCAATAATCTGGGGTGAACCAGGTACTAATGGACAACATGCATTCTATCAATTAATCCATCAAGGAACAAAAATAGTTCCAGCAGACTTCCTTGCATCAATTGAAACACACAATCCAATATCCAATGGCCTACATCATGAAATTTTATTATCAAATTTTTTTGCACAGACAGAAGCTTTAATGATTGGTAAAAGCAAAGAACAAGTCTTGACAGAGCTTGGTGAAGGTTTCAAAAATAAAGATTTGATTGCACCTCATAAAGTTTTTATTGGTAATCGGCCAACAAATTCTATAATTTTTCAAAAATTGACTCCTGCTACTCTAGGTGCTCTTATTGCATTATATGAACACAAGATTTTTGTACAAGGAATCATTTGGAATATCAATTCTTTTGATCAGTGGGGTGTTGAACTTGGTAAAGTGCTTGCTAAAAAGATATTACCTGAATTAGGAAAAGACAACAAGTCAGTTGTTTCTTCTCATGATTCAAGCACTAATGGATTAATCAATTATTACAAAAATAATAGAAAATTTTAAAGCATTAAATTTTTTTAATTGCTTACTATTATTAAAAATAACATTCATAATTTAAAACAATAAAAAAAAATTATTATTGTTGGGACCTTCAAAATCCTTTTAATTTAGCTTCAAATTGCACCACTTTATAATATAGATAATTAAAATTATGGGTTGAAAACTATGTAATATATATAATTCTACTAACTTTTTTTAAATGTAAAGTTTCTTTTGGTTTAATTTCATTTTCTGACCCACACCACAATCTATTATAATTAATTTTAAGGGTTACTTGAAAAACAAATCAATGAATTTTTCCTTAACCTATAGAAATAATCATGCCTGTACAATTGTATAACATTTTAGGCGCATTATCACCTGCTCTTGGTGTGGTAGAACTTAAAGGGCCGGATAGTAATGGTGGGCCTTGTGGATTTTGGTTACTCATTTTTTTGTTTCAAGATCCAAAAAATATATAAAACTTTATCACATGATAAGCCGAACCTTGATTCCAAATAGTTTAAATTGGACTTATTTTTTCATATATGCAAACAATTGTATTTTTTTTAAATTTTTATTATTTATAACATTTATGGTGATACTTATTCAGAGTGAAAAAATGAATTTTTATTATATGGGCATGTTGCAACAAGTGAACATTGGTATTACCAGAATCACAGGGATCGGTACACAGCAGTGTTGGCAATGACAGTTATTTAACTTTTGAACTGTCAGTTAAATAACTGGTTCAAAAGTTAAATAACCAGTTCAAAAAATCATTTGAACTTGTGAACTTTGGTTCAATGACATAAATTGATTGATTTATGTGCACAGAGCACATTGTCTAACCAATTTTGGAAATTATCTGCAAATAATTAACAAATTGGGTTAGATAATATGCACCATCACCTATATCTTTTTATTGTAAAATATGATTTCCTCTAAGCTGTTCCTGTGTACAGAATTGATAAAATTTTAAACCAAGGTGTAAATAAACATTGTTCTTTCCTAAAATCAAAGTTATTAACTCTGTATCCAGAAAACAGTACATATAATAATAACATTTGATACTGTTTTCCATATTTGTAATGAACTCTATCAAATAACTTGCATATTGGTTAAATAACTGCTCAGCAAAGTTCAAATGATCAGCATGTTATTTAACTAATTAACAATTCAAAAGTTCAAATAGTTCAAAAAAAGGTTTGAACCAGTTAAATTGCCAACACTGACTGTAAGTGAGTAAAATCATGATGTTATACAGAACATGTGATTTACTGAAGATTATAAATTTTTACGCGGGACCCTCCGTGACATGTGCAAACGTTTATTTTTTTTAATTATTTAATTAATTATTTTTATCTATTTATTTTTATTATCATTTATTTATGAACCTAAGTTGGTCGTAAAGACAGTAATTAACATAAAATGTTAGTATTGGTATTTATCAACTAACTAAGGTTTCAAATTATCATTTTATTTAATTCTTATACAATAATGGACAATAGATTATTTCGTTTTAACTTGTAGAATGTATTAGTAATTTTTTTTGATCTGAATGTAATATAGAAAGGATTCCATTTTCAAAGTTTTTTGGGGGACGGGATGGTATTGTTTTAGAGATATATTTTAGGATGATATATTCATGTTTTTTTTGATGTTTTAGATGATTTATTTTAGTCTTTACTGGTCACGATCATAATTAATAATAATAAAAATACAAGTTACAACAAAAACTCTGCATAATTTTAATAGTAATTAATTGAATAGATAATAAATTCGTCCAGATGACTATTCGGGTAATTCCCGTAACAATTAATTAATTAATGTAATAATAATTTCAGCCTGACGGGGGCAACGAGAACTAAATACCCAAGACTAATTGGGATTAGTGAAAGATTAATTTGTTGAGAACGAATTGGATCCATAAGGATAAATAATTAATTAATAGTAACATTTAGGAACGAAATTCAAAATAAAATTTAAAATAAATAAATAAACTTATTAAATTAAATAAGATCTACTCGTACAGTATAACTGAAATTGCAATCTCATTTTTGATAATATCAATTATTATATTAACAACAATTATTTATAATTATCAAAAGATAAAAAAGAAAAGATTATAATTTTATTGGTAATGAGAACTAAATTCATAAATAGTCACTGTTCAAAAATAAAACATCAAAAGGCTTGATTGAGAGTGATCAAAATTTTTTTTTTCAGGAACAAATTAGATAACAAAAGAATCAATTCTAATACATATCCATTCTAATTATATTCGTAACAATTATTTTATATTATTAACATTAACCTAAAGAATATCACAAGAGCAATGAAAAAATTATTGAGAAATTAGAAATATTCAATGTGAGAAAAAATTAATAAATCTTACCTTTTGAGGAGTTGCTAATGTCTTTCTCATCATCATAATCTTTTTTGATGGAGTTTTCTCATTATTATTAGTGATGGTTGGATACATAGGGTGAAAGCCTCTCAATAAATTCTTCTATCAATCTCTGCAATTGGCATATAACATAAAACAGAATTGATGATTTGTCAATTGGTATAATAGACATATTAAAAAACTTAAAGAACTTACCTTTAAATTTACAATTTCATATAAGATGACTTCTACCAAACAAAGACTAAGATTGCTCCTTGGCAATTCAAATTCACCCAATAAAAACATCCTGTACACACCATCATATGACAGATCCATTGCATAAATTCTAATATTATAACCTGCCAGAGAAATTGATTAGCTTTCAAAAATCATAATATTCAACAGAAAACAATTGTTTATGATAGATACCAAATGAGTGAATTCCAAAGACAACCATTTCCAATTCAACTCCTTTGCCATAGATATCATCAAGTGAGTCTTTCATGAGAACTCCCAAATCAACCAAGTCAACATTTACCAATTGTGAATTGCCTTTGCTAGGTGATTTGAAAAGACCAAACAAGATTTCAAATTTGTTATATCCATTAAGATCAATAGTGAGCATAAAATCAGGTCGATGACCTTCACCATCAGAATCTATTTTTCTAGATGCACTTGCTAGTGACATCTTATTAGCCCTGTTGCAAAAAAGAAACAAATAGATGTTAAATTAGAGTATTAAACTTTAAATGTCAAACAAATTAATTGACAATTAAAAATCCATAGAAATTACCAATTAATTGTTTTCCCTGGCTTATCTGGGAAAAATGGTCACAAGATAGGATGTATCAGATGGTGTAAATAAGTATCTTCAATTGTTAATGGGTCATCAAAAGTTGTACACAAATTTCCAACACTATTAAATTTGATGTATTTGAGTGTAGAATTGGTATTTAATTTGAGAAATATATGTTCAAATAGAAAACAAGGAGTATACTTACACATGTCCCCAAACTTTCTGGCAAGTCCTGAGCAAATGCTTATCAATAGAATTTTTCTTAAATTATCATAAACAACTTCAATAGAATCTTCTAAATTCATTCGAGTTTCTTCTCTTGCAATTTTTGCACACTGATGACATAATTCACTAACTACATTTGGTAGATCATGTTTTGAGTACATATCCTTCATTTGTTTGAAGACCTTTCTCCGAATGTCTGAAGGAATGTTCAACTTTGCATGAATAGAATTCTCTTCCAAGAGAAGTATGGAGTTCAATGCCCTAAACATTATATAAAATCTTAAATAAGTAAAGTACTAATCCTATTGTACATTATGTGACACTTCATAATAGATAAACAAGTAAAACTGACAGCATTTCACCCGGATGGTTTGAATAGGTAAGTTTATGTTCATTTGCCATAGATATAGCATGCTCTTTTAAACTAAAAAATGATTCACTTATGCTTATTTCATCAATGATCCATTCCTGCACACATAGTTATTATTTTTATTAGTTAATGATTTAATAAAAAAAAATTAGAAAGAATGTGACATATACCACTCTTGCAGGCCTCAGATCTTCTTCAAAATTCCACTTTAACACATATCTATTTTTAGTTACTGACTTTATATCCTAAAAGTATTAGAAAAGGGTGTTAAGACAGTTAAATGATCAATTTGTAATCAATTATGTAAATCTTTGGAGTATGCTCACTTACAACATTAGGTGACTCCACATCCATTTGTTTTCTCTTAATCGATGTCAATTCTTCATCTTGTCCTAAAGAATGCTTCTTTGTTTCTGAGCCATTGGGCTGTAGTATAATAAAATGGTATTAAAAACATTTAGCAAGATTATATAAAGGACAATAAATCTGTAAAATATATACTTACTTTGTTATCAGATATCTCATTTTTTTGATCATTATCTGACAAGATAAAATGTTCTACAGCAGCATTTGTAGTTGCATGTATTGAAATGCACTTGATTTTTTCCTAGATAAAAAAAGAAAGCTAGTGAATATCAAAATCAAAAGAATTATAGTAAATACACATAACAATACCTTGTCTATATCATTAATTTTGTTCAAACTAGCTAGTTCTTGTGTGAATTTCCAAAGTGTAGGTGTCATTTTATATTTATTTTATTGAATAAAAAAATTTATACATTAGAAAGAATTGCATGTTCACAAAAAAGGATAATATAATCCCAACTGCGTATAATATGATATGATCCAAAGATAAGATTGAGTGCAATCTTTAATCTAAGGATCTCTATACCATACATACTCCCCACTTTCGGGCGAACCGCAGACCCTATTATGACAAAGTCACTCAACCGCAGTTGCAGGGTGTAGTTGGGCTCCACCAACATTATGACAAATGCGTATCGTAAAAGGATCCATACTCATGACACTCTTCTTCCCATTCAGATAACCGCAAAAAATCTGTTTATGAGACCTCAGTCCTGGGCATAGCAAGTGACACTCTGTTGGCAGACATGAAAGAAAAAAAACTGACCTGAAGACTTTTACGAATAAAAATTGCATTCGCATATTTTTACTTTTACTTGGAAACCTCTTTAAAAGTACGTCAAGCTTGCTTGAAAGTGCAGAATGAGAGCTTTGTGTTGTGCTGTCAGGCACTTTGTTTATATAAAACATTCCAACTTTGCACATCACCCCATAAATCAGGATCTCTATCCCAATAATCTAACAAAAAATAAAGCGAGTTTTTGATAAATCATAAACATAAATATCAGCTAATAAATTAAATATATTTGATATATAGAGTAGAGTTCACAGAACAAGGGAATTATAGTGGACAGCGAATTTCTTTTGGTAAACGTGTCGGAATTTCCTAATTAATGTCCGTGTAACAACTTCATTAATTTTTCAGATAAATTAATGACTCCGACCACAATCTCTTTTTTAAACTAATTAGTTGATTAATACCAAATACAAGGTTGTATATTGTAAAAGCAAAAATTATTTATCATTACAGTACTCATTATATAACACAATAAAATACATAAAGCAGATTTAACATCGCGAATTGTGACAACGTGGAAATTTAGCGCATGAATGAATCATAAATAATGAATTTTAAATTCCAACAATAAAAAAAAAGTTAATATTCTTCTTCAGGAATACTTGTCAATATAGAGTATTGGTAAATCATCTTTTACTTCCTTCCATCAAATAAGTGGATTAATATTGCCAGTTACATTAGCCATATTTAAATATTTTGCTAATTCATCCTCATTTTCTGTGAACAAATCATCCTGTTTAATAAAAATTGCTTTCTCACTATTCCTTAAATATGTACAATATGTAGATGTCCTGGATGGAGGTGTGATTGTGCTGTCTTGCAAATTCTATGAATAGTGTGTCAAGCAAGCGTCAGTCTGAACTTTATGGAGGAAGTGTTAAAATTCTGTCCGAATTTGTACAGAAATTTGTTTGAAAAAATAAAATCTGTGATATTGGTTTGTTGAATAGAGATTACCAAAGACTATACAAAAACGGGGTTTTCCAGTTATATCACAGTGTCTACTCATACTCCAGAACCTAGCATCTTAGACTGCCAGATGGTTTAATTAATGACTTTATTTTATATTTATTTATCTATCTACATTTAATAACTTGAAAATAAATAAATAATAGAACATTATTTAGAAATTAATTTTTATTTGGAGAATTGTTTTTCAGTTACACCTTTACCCATAGCAGATGTGGAAGAAACACCACCTTGTATACTTTTCTCGTT